CAAACGACAGATTATTCCTCTTAGTTATGACCAGATCTGCGAATTTGTTCAATAATTTACACACATTTTAGTATATCTTTGAACACATAAATAAAGAATATTCTGTAATCATTACCATATATTATATTCATTGTATTTGTTATCATTTAATAAACACTATATTTATAAACCAGTGGTTGAGTCATACATACAGTGACCGCATATTCATAGTTATCGTCGTTTTATAATTTATTTCTTTATTTAATTATTCAGTTATTTTTTAATTGATTAGAATTTTATGCTTAAAAACAAATGTTTGAAAATAATTTTAATTAATTAAATCATTAATCGTGTGAATAGTCTCGACGTTTGTATCAATAAAACACATTTATTCAAACAATTAGTGAACCAATGGTTGAGTGAATGACTCATTGGGCTAATCATAGCCCTACTCCCACTTAATATTAGTTTCAATTATGAAATGATTTCTTGTTTTCATTTATTGATAATTCCTTAAAATTAATGATTTTGTCATAATTTTCCAATTATTTCTAATTTTGGTTTATTTCATAATTTCCGATACAGTAATAGATAATAGTTTTGAGTTTCTTATCAAACAATTTAATGAGAATTCATTTCTTTATCCAATTTTTCAATTCCGGTATTTCTTATTTGAATCGATTTCTATGATTAAAAACTAAAGTTTTGAAAATAATTTTCTATTAATTAATTCAATTTGTAATATATTTGTAATAAATAAAAATAGACATAATTTTGTAAAGAAAATGATTTATTATATAATGAAAGTCTAGAGAAATANAGAAATACAGAATATTGTGGAAAATTCTCGAAATTCTTAACATTATATTTGAGTCACTCTTTCTGGACGTCTCTCGAATTTTCTCGTCAATTCTGGTTTCACTGCAATACTTGTATATAAAGCGATGCCTTTCACTGCAATGCATATCACTTTGAAATTCAGTTCTAAAGTGAGAAAAAAGTTCAAAAAGTTTTCAAACTATTCACAAGTTTTTACTTTTGACACAATTTTCTGTTTAATTGTAATTTCGATTGAAATCAACTGAAGAGCAATGGATTTGGACTTAATTTTGACACCAAATCATCGCCAATATTATTGGCCTCAACGTGGATGTGGTCTAACAAGTGATGACCTCTTCTATAGTCTTGCGGTTCCATTGGTTTCATCGCTTTCGCGGAATATTCCTCGAGATGTGAGTCGAAGAGTGGTCTCAAATGCGGAGAACAACGACAAGACATTTGAAGTGAGCGTCGATTGCAGTCATTTCACTCCCGAAGAGATTGAGGTGAAGACAGTGGACAGGGATGTGATAATTCACGGCAAACACGAGGAGAAAATGGATACTCACGGATGGGTTAGCCGTGAGTTCACCCGAAAGTATACACTTCCGGAGGAATGCGAATCGGAAGGAGTCAAGTGTGGCCTCACCTCCAAAGGTGTGCTCACTATCTCTGTACCCAAACGACCCGTTCAGCCATTGGGTGACAACGAGAGAGTGGTTCCCATTCAAGTCATACACCAGACATCGGACTCTACCGACAAACGCATCCAAAACTAAATGACTGTCTAATCATTGATTTAACACTTAATGCTATCATTACATGCTTAGCATCAATACTATTACAGTATTTTATTTAAGTTTATACTTTATTTAACTACTAGCCTATTCAGACATTTGTTTTAATGTAAACTTTATTTTCTTAATGTATTTATCAAATTTTTAGTATTAATAAAAAAAATTCAATTAAATATCCAAATAATTGTAATTATTATTCAATAAAATTAAAATTAATTTCATATTTAATATGAAATAATCAAAAACTGGTTTCAAATGAGATCTTTAATATTATTTCATTCATATAATTATTTCCCAAATATTATATAAACCAAAACTTTTAATTTAATAATAATATTATAGAAATTTAAACCAATATTTAGTAAATTAATTTATTTAATTAAATTTTAATTAATTTGTTTTAAATATTACATAGTTTTACTTTAAATAATAATTCAATTATCAATTGTATGTTAATTCGTAAAGCATTGATATAAAATAAAAAATTATTTCATTATTTAATGTTAAAATTAAATTTTTTTACCATATTTATATGAGAAAAATACATATATTTAGTGTAAATTAAAGTCTAAATATTCTTTAAAAATTAATAAATATAAAATTATGTCAATGAGTTTAATATTAGTATACTGTATATACTGTATCACATATACAGTAATTGTAATACTTAAATTAATTTCTATTGCTTTCAAATACTAGTCTTACAACCTTATTTGATATATTGTGACGTTTTATTAATATTATATTTAATCAATATTTAATTAATATTTTGTTTCTAATAATGTTTATATTAGTCATGTAACATTGTTTTCGAAGTATTATTACATTACAGGTACAGTAATAAATCAATTTGTTTCAGATCTTTAAAAGGTTTGTTCATAACTATGCAATTCATTAGTAATTATACTGTAGTACTGTACATATATTAATTAATTTTGACAAAACAAGTCATACACTGCGTTACAAATTCTGTTAACATATATTGTTTTCATTAAAAAGCATTTTATATTATTTAAGTTAAGCAATGGTTAATAAGTCGGTATTTCTAATTAGTTTTCAACTCTTGAGTGCAGCTCTTCATACGATGGCAGACAATGGTACCAACCAATCGACCCATTGGACCGATATTTGCGATCAAATTGAAGACGGAAACTATAAGACAGTCAGACTTCCGGACTCAAAAATCCAGTTATTCTGTGGTCAGAAGTCCTATACATTTAAAGTGGGAGACATCAGAGCCGCACAAATGAATGCCATTTCAAACTTATATCCTTTCACTTCGACTCCAATCACACAATGCTTTCAATATAACGAAAGAGTTTATTATATACGAGACAATCAACTCATTGAATACAACGGACTGACTGTGAGTTCTTCGCAGTGGAACCAAAATAAGCCATCGATTCCGTGTGTTATCATCAAAAGGAGCGGACAGACCATTGGATTCTTTGTTACGCCCAACTCGTGTCCCTATTCTTCGGCTCAATCCATGTCATCAACAAATGACATACAAGTCATGGCTTATGGAAGCGGTTCTTCCGTCTCAATGTCCAGCATTAATAACAACTATAGATTGACATACAATTCAATCAATATTCCCATTCAATTCAATTCTTTTATAGCTAATTCTGCCGATAGTTACACATTCTTCGATGGGAACCGCTATTGTGTGGTCACTACAAGTGATAACTCATACGAATTCAATTGGAAAGACGTTAAGACTCTGTTTGGCTGTTAAGACAATGTTTGCCACAAATTATTTTGTAATTTCTTATCTCTTATTGCTTTTTAAAATAAGTCACACAAAATTCAATTCTTAAAATAATGTTAAAATTAGAGACAAATAAATGTGTTTAACTAAGAATTTGTTGAAAATTTTTTTAATTTATAAAACTATTGAGTGAATATTAAGAATAACAGAATCTCTTTATAATTCAAATTAACATAAAATGTATTAAATTTATATTCATATCATGTATAAAAGTGAGACAAAAATATTTTCGTGCTAGGCCGTGCTATTCTTGAGGGGGTCTTTCATCGGGTTAGCGTTCATTTCGACACTTAATAGCGTTCATTTCGGTTTCGGTGAACCGAACCCGAGTAGGAGTCGATGGTTGACTGCCCTCCCATTCAGCCGTTTGCCTGACAGACAGGTCTTCGAGTGATGTGGACAACGATTGAACAACCGATGGGTCGTAAGAGCGGTCACAAGCGATGGTTGACGTATCGATCGGAGACATAAACCTCGGAGTCAGCAATTGATTAGGAGATGAGGTCATCGGACGCATGGAACTGATCGTCAATTGTTGCAGATTTCCGGATATCGATTGTTCTTCGATGGACTCATCAGTAGTGTCGGCGTAGGCGTCGTTCCCAACGAACAATCCGTAGTCGACAGCCGAGACTTCTGTGGATGAGGTGTCCGTATCGGAGGCTGAAGGGGGAGACGGAGGCCTCGGCTCTGGGATCACCTCTAACATTGCAGTCATGAGTTGTTGAGTAGTTGGAGGGGACTGTTGGTGAATATCTTCTTCTAACTTATCATTCATCACATTATAAACACTGTCATCACTTCCAGTGAAAGACTGGTCAGTACTGGAGTCCATTGTTAATATATTATCAAATGAGATGTGATTGAAACATAAGACTTGATTTCAACGAATCAATTCAATCACTTTTCCAATCATTCAATCATTTGATTCAATGAATCAAAAGTCTCGCGATTTTGGCTTACATTCAGTGTTACAATCTCGAGAAAGTCATGCATTCAGTCATTCATTAAACTAAAAAAGTTTGCTTCAAATGTCAGTATTTATAAGAAAAACAGAAAATATTTATTTCCAATTAAAACTTCTTAAAGAAATCCATTTTCATTACACTTTAGATGTCAGTAATTATATAAAAAATCAGAGTTCAGTCGACATTCATGTGTTCGTCCACCACCACAGGGCCGGCAACTTCTGGATCCCGTGGTGCGACCTCCTCCCTGACCTCCATGGCCTCAGCGACGCCTCCTCCGCGACCCTTTCGCTCGGCTTCGGTAATGAGCGCCAAATACTGCTCCACTTTCTGGTCGTCGTGAACGGCAAACGGGTGACCCTTTCCCACGATAGCGATCGACACGTTCTTAGTATTCAATTCCATATCATTCGGCAGGCATTCCCTGAGCGCCAGGAGTCCGTGTCTGACGAGCGCCTTGAGGTCTGCGTCGGCAAAGTCGTCCAAATGCTTCTCCAGATAAGTGCGCGCAGACTGAGAGCGTGCGCCGATAGACATAGCCTTGCAGTCGAAATAGTTGGCCGACGGACAGGTCTGGTAGACGTGCGGACCCAACTGGTCGTAGCCGGCGATCAAGAGGCCCACGCCGTAGGGCCGCCGGTCGTAGCGTTGGGTCGAACTCTGCATTTTGTTGCCGAGATTAGTGACCAATCGGTTCACTGGAAGCGCTTCGTTGTGAGCGAAGCGTTGGTTTGTGCACTCGTTTCGCATATATCGCGATAACATGCGGGCGTCGGCCGTCAGACCCGCGATAGCCATCCCTACGTGCGAGTCGAGTGGCGTTATCTTCTTCTGATGGGCGCTCAGCTCCGATGTACTCCTCTTCAGAGCCAACAGCACCGCAAACGTGTCCTTATTCTTGAGGCCAACGGTGGCCGACCCCTGTTTGACCGCTTCCATGGCGTACTCCACCTGATGGAGGCGCCCCTGCGGTGACCACGTGGTCACGTCGTTGTCGTATTGGTTCCGAAACATCACCTGAAGAAGTGACAGAAACACAGATACAGTGGTCTGAGTGAACAACCGGTGAGCGATGAGACAATCGTTGGCCGCCAAAGACTTTACACTCAAAGAGATTGAGTGTCACATCTTTGCTGACAAGTAATGAATGCTTACGTTTGGATCAGTTGTCACTTCAGTGGTAATCAAATGTCAAAACTCTTTGATTGTATGACACAAACAGTACTCAAGAGTTGAGTCAAAAATAATGCAAAATCATTGACCGATTGGTTTGTCCGTCAATGACGTGCACTAAATGCACACAAAAACCAATTCATTTCATTCAGAAATTACTACAACTTTTAGTCAACGCTTTTGAGTCCCATTTCGACGGCATGTCTGCAATACATAGGGCTATGAATGACAGCACACCATCCGATGGCCCCCTCTTTGCCCCCCATTTGGCACATCATTACTGAACGGACGAAGTCTTTCAGTGAGAGAGACGTGAAAAACACACAATTGAGTGAACCGTTTGTGTGAATGTATTGTCGATATAATTACCACTGAATCAGTTTGGGTGACAATATCGTGGACAACATGCCGTTGAACTCAGTGATGGGCATCGAGTTGATGCACAACAACATAGAGCCCATGCAGTTGGACATGAACTTGGATGACGAGTCCGATGGGAATGGCGAGGGTGTGGGCGGCGGTGGACAGCCGCACAATGGCGTTGACGGCCCACATGTGGCCAATTATCTCGTGGAGAACCCGACCCTCGACCTCGAGACCTACTCCAACGCATACATCGGCCTCTCGCGGATCAATCGGTTGCTGTTCATCGCCGACCACTGTCTGGCGCTCAGGACAGAGGCCCTGAGGATGGCTCTGAACTACGTGAAGGACAACACCTATAATGTGAACATTTATACGCAATTGTACCGCAAATTGGCGGACAGTATAGCCATGAGTGGTGTGAACGCCGAGGCAGTGATCGGTCCGCTCGACACCAATTGGATTGAGTCCAAGTCGAAGAAGGCTGCCCTCAAACTCGAGAAGTTAGATACGGATCTCAAGAACTATAAGTCCAACTCGATTAAGGAGAGCATCCGAAGAGGTCACGACGATTTGGGCGACCACTACCTCGACTGCGGCGACCTCTCAAACGCTCTGAAATGCTACTCACGATCGCGCGACTACTGCACGAGCGGTAAACACGTGTTGAATATGTGTCTGAATGTCATAAAAGTGAGTATTTATCTACAAAACTGGTCGCATGTGTTGACTTACGTGACCAAAGCGGAGGGCACTCCCGAGTACAGCACATCCAGTAGTATCGCCACTCGTCTGCACTGCGCGGCCGGACTCAGCGATTTGGCCTCAAAGAAGTATAAGAGCGCCGCCAAACACTTCTTGGCCGCCAATTTCGATCACTTGAGCGTCGAGTACGGAGAGATGGTGTCCGTCAACAATGTGGCCGTCTATGGAGGGCTGTGCGCTTTGGCCACCTTTGACCGCATGGAACTCCACAAGAATATCATCGCAAACGCCTCCTTCAAGTTGTTCCTGGAGTTGGAGCCACAGCTCCGCGACGCCATCACTAAGTTTCATGAGTCGAAGTACGCCTCGTGTCTGTCCATTCTGGACGAACTCAAAGATAACTTACTTCTGGACCTGTATTTGGCACAACACGTCCACGTCCTGTACTCTCACATCAGGAATCGGGCGTTAATTCAGTACTTCTCGCCGTATCTGTCGGCGGATATGAACAAAATGTCTGTCGCTTTCAATACTAGTGTCCCGTCTCTTGAGGACGAACTGATGCATCTTATACTCGAGGGTCAGATACAGGTATGTCTTGGATGTGTTGGATGTCTTTTCTCTGCAGAACATTAACTGTCTTTTTGTGGACAAACTTTAGGCCCGAATTGATTCCCACAACAAAATACTGTACGCTAAAGATGTGGATCAAAGAACAGTGACATTCGAGAGGGCGCTAGACATGGGTCGCGAATGGCAGCGACGGACTAAGTCATTGATCCTGAGGTCAGCGATGCTGAAGAATGGACTCATTCAAGTGAAATGCCCGCAACCCTCCAGAGGTGACGAGAATACGCCCACCGGTTCATCCAATAGCGCCTCCGGTTCTAATATACCCATTGGTTCTCAAAAGTAATTTATGGTAATTAGTAGTGATTTGTATCAAATTGTTTTGCTATCGAATTGATATTGTTTTCATTATAAAACATTAAGCTTATCTGTACTGTATTTCTCTAATAACTTCAATATTACAATAAACTAATTGATAACTAATTTTGATTTATGAATAGATTGACTTAAAAATGTTTGATTTTTTGTATAATTTTCAATGAAATAAGTTTTTGTTTAATTTGATTTTTAATTTCTTTATAAAAATAAATTCTTTTGTTTGTTTTTTTTTGTGTTAATGAACACATATCTAATTAGAATTGAAAATATTTTGATTATTTATTAAAATATTGACTGAAAAACATTTTTGTCTCACTTTTCCACTACACTGCAGGTAAATAAGTGTAATATTATTCATGATATGAATATACCGTAAATTTAATACACTTGATGTTAATTTGAGTTATAATGAGGTTCTGTTATTCATAATATTCACTCAAAAGTTTTATAAATTATAAAAATTATCAACAAATTCATAGCGAAAGTGCCTTACAATCATAAATCACATTCAAAACTAATAAATAAATACTAAAAAAGTTTTGTGAATTGGATTTGAGGTCAAGAGTTGTATTGGCGTTCCTATGTGTGGGCGGACGTACAGTAGGCTTACAACCAATGCTAGACTAACGCCATTCATAACAAACACAACACTTCACGCAATCATTCATTCACTCTATGAGTGGCTTTAAATGAGTGTCACATCTGTGAACTAAATGCTATGTTTTGTTCATATTATCTCTATGTGTGACACCTCTTAAGACATAGTGACCACCGATTGTCCGAAATGAACATAAGTATCACTGATATATGCGAGAACACGAAGATGGGCCGTGAGTTCGCCCTCTTAGGCAACTACGAGACGGCTCTCGTGTATTATCAAGGAGTGGTTCAACAGATCCATCGACTTCTGCAGACCATTAGCGACGCCAACCGTAAGGAGCGGTGGCAGGAGGTGCTCATCACCACACCATTCACTCACCACTCTTACTAACAGTGTGTGTCTTATGTCCCACAGATTCAGCAGCAAATAGCACAGGAGTACGAGTACGTCAAAGACATCCAAACGAAACTCTTAGGCTTCAAAGGCGATCACCACAACACCCGTCCTATCAATCCGTCGAGACATTCGCCGCCCTTCGGAGGCGTATCGGACGACACGAGTAGTGACGCCGACTATTGGCCGCCGTCTTCGCCACGAGAGCCCGACGTATGGCCGCCGCCGACACCCGTTGAGCACAAACCCGGACCACAAGTGAAGCAAAGACAGGGCAGACGTGAGAGCACTTCGTTTGGCAATAAAAGTGGTCGAGAATCCAATGCCAGCGCCAGTCGATCGGCTGCTGTGAAGGGCGGCCCGAAAAGGGGACAAAATGAGGGAAAGACTGCCGGAAATAAGGCGAGCGAACAGCGCAAGAAGGGTGAGAGCGGAACCTCTAAGGAGGAGCCGAACGAGAAGAAGTACGACTGCGCCGGACCTGACAACGAGTTGGTCGATATGCTGGAGAGGGATATACTGCAGAAGAATCCGAGCACTCACTGGACAGACATCGCGGCCCTCGAAGACGCCAAACGACTGCTGGAGGAGGCGGTAGTGTTGCCGATGCTATGGCCCGACTATTTCAAGGGTATACGGCGTCCCTGGAAAGGGGTGCTAATGGTTGGACCGCCGGGAACGGGCAAAACAATGCTGGCGAAAGCGGTGGCCACGGAGTGTTGCACCACATTCTTCAACGTCTCGTCGTCGACACTGACATCGAAATACAGGGGCGAGAGTGAGAAGTTGGTTCGGATCCTCTTCGAAATGGCCCGTTTCTACGCGCCCTCCACTATATTCATCGATGAGATCGACTCGTTGTGTTCGCGCCGGGGGTCGGACACCGAGCACGAGGCCAGCCGTCGCGTGAAGTCGGAACT